AAAATTTAAGGATGTATTTGATTAAATGATAAAGTATAAGAAAATAATTTAGGAATGTGGTTAAAACTAATTTCTAAGAGTGAAAGAATGAAAGGAGTATTTTGGTCATTTATATAGTAAATGAATTATGGTATTAAAGTAAAGAAAAAGGGGAGAATGTTAATATTTTTGCTATATTCTCTTCTTTCCCGTGTTCACTTGGCCTTCTCCAAAGATAAGGAAAACGTCATCTAATTAGTTTTTCTTTTTGATTATGGTTTGTTTTTGCAACCTTAAGTGATAAGTAAGCTTAAGGAAGGGTTAAATAAGATTTAAACTAAGAGATGGATAAGTTATTGGAGATTAGAGAAAATGGGTTTTTTAAGGATATATTGGAATATGAGTTTTTACTGATCTTTAATAGTATTTTTGACTTGTCAAATAAATAAATAAGAGATTAGAGGCTTTAGATATGAGTAAAAACATGCTATAAAAAGTGATATGATTCTTGATTTGAGATGTTCTATGGAGATTTTAGATGTTATAAGAGGTTAAATGAAGTAAAGTTAATTAGGATATGTAAAGAACAGTTTAATAGTAAAAGTAAGAGATTAGAGACAAAAATTTAGTAAAAATTGAGCTGAAAAATGGTAAATCTACGTAAGGATATCGGTACTGATAGAGCAATATTGATACTATAGGCTTAAATGGGTAGAAATGTGACGAACAGTATCGGTACCAGTGCAAGTGGTATCGATACTGATGGGGTATCAATACTAAAAGGGAAACTATCGATACCATGGATAATAGAATGCCAAAATGGTATCAATACCGAAATGGAGAATTATTACCATAGTGTAGTAGTATCGATACTGAGAGAAATATATCGATACTTAAGTATAGAAGTATCGATACCATGGTAGAGGTTTCGATACTATGGAGTTTGGACCTATAAGATAGGTTGAAATTGTTATAGAAATGTAAATAATATTACTTGTGAATATTATTAAAGTATAAATGTTAGGAAATATACTAATAATTTATATTTTACGTGTCATTAATGAATGCTTGAGTAGATCAAAATCAAATTTAATTTATTGATTATAAATAAAATTTATAATATAATAAATATAAAGAAATTTATGAATTGGAATTAACATAAAAATCAAATTTATAATATACAAATTATAATTAATATAAAACTAAATTTTAAAAAGTAACCATATTAATTTAATTTAATTATCATAATAATTTAATTATCATTAGTTTATTATAAATTTAAAATAATATAATTATATTAATTGTAACTTCACTTATAAGTCAGGATAATATTATATCACTTAACAACATGTCGGATCATTTACAGGTTGAGTCAATTACAGGTTAGATTCATAACAGATCAGGTTGAAAACAGGTCGGGTAATACCAGTTATTTACCAGGTCAATCTCGGGTTCGTGTTCATATAAGTCGGATGCAGTTCGGGTTCGGGTATCACATTTTCGGTTCAATTCGGGTTCAGATCCATAATTTCCAAGTACAACTCGGGTTCAGGTCAACACCAGTTTCGACTCAAGTCGGTTTCGGATCGTCACAACGCATGTCAAAAACAATTTTAGCTCGAGTCGATTTCAGTCAGTTTTACAGATCGGGTCAATTTTTTACACCCCTAGTACTAGGGCAATTTGGAAGTTCTTAAACAAATGTTGTCTGCTTTCACTTGCATTGTTTTATGTACAATTGCTTACATTCTACTTTAAATGTGTAAAAAGTGATTGCATTTTGACTAGCATCTAGGATTAGTCTCAATTGTTTATTTGAGTGGTTGTCTATCTACTATTCTTTGTGTTAAATATTTACTTTGAACTCGTAATTAAAAAAATAAATATTTAAATATATTAACATAAAAAAATATTTAATCTTAATTAATATAAACTTTAATAATAAATATTAACCTAATGTAATTTAACAATAGTGTATAAGTGTATTCATTAGATATAGAAATAAAAAGAGTTAATGAATATACTTTTTAGCTTTTACGCCACATTGTCAAAAATATAACATAAACACTCCAATTTGCATATATAAATTAACACCATTAAATTTTTCAACTCATGTAATTAATATGTATTTAATTACGCTGTTAGTACTATAGTTTTATTTTTTAATTTTTTTAAAACATATTTTTTTAATATGTTTTTAGGGAAGGCTCCTTCCCTAATGCGCCTCTGATGGGGAAGAAGACTTTTGGAAGACTCGCCTCTTGAAACGTGCCTTCTCACGTGGTGTTATGTCAACATTTTTCTTGGAAAATGAGCTCCAAGGGATGCGTCTTTGGTCTATCTAAACAAAGGCGCGTTCCGTGTAATACGCCTTATTATCACTCTATCAAAAAGAATGTTAGATCATTAAAATTTGAGGAAACGGTGCATGACATATAATATTATAATATTTGATTATTTTTTAGTAAAAATGCATATTAACAACATAAATATATTAAATGAACTATTGACTAATACAGCTGCAATATTCTATTGGTGGGCACCAAAAGGGGCATTAAAAGGAGGCTGAGGAATTCTATTCATCTTATGGTAGGATTGGGAGTACAGTGAATTAGTGTAATTAAACACGCATACAAAATTATAAATATTATACTAAAATTCAATTACCAAATATCATTTCTATCATACTCTGGAAAAATCATAATATTCTTCCTTTAATGAAAACTAATCTTAATTGTACATATTAATTAATACTTTCCCAAATTGATTTTTTTTATAATTTCCTACCTTCTTATTGGTTTTCGTTTGTTTTAATAAAATTTACATATGACAACAAGCATAATAAAAAATAATAAAAATTAAATTGCAATTAATATTATTATAAATATAAACATTAAAAATTATTTTTCCTCTGGCAATTACCTTATAGCAGGTGGAACCGTGGAGTCCGGGCCAAAGGTTTAAAAGTGATATCTTAGGATCAATCTGCACCGCCAATGGAATATATCGCAACGTGGCAACCATCGGAAGAATTAAGACCAAGCCCCTCTGAGATCGGGACCCATTCTAATTCGAGCTGAGGCAAAGAAAAGGTCAAAATCTTCTAATAGTCCATATATTATACATAAATTTTGGATTAGTCCCTATACTCCAATTTGGCCCTATTTTACAAATTTTATTATTTCGATTCTAATCTAAAAAGTATCCATTAAATATAATAATTCAAATTTCGTTATTATTTATCATGTTATTAGTAAGTTATATATTTCAATTCATAATTTTAACTTAATCATTTTAAGGTTTATAATTTAATTATTTTTTCCTATCATGATTGAGATTTTAAATTAAAAATAACAAATTAAATCAATAATTTATATATAATACAAAGACTGATGATAAATTTTGATGAAAAAAACCAACAAAATCGAAAAGACAGTGAACCAATCCCATAATAACTGAAAATTCAAGAGTAACAACTAACAATAGAAAGTTGACAATATTTAATGACAGAAACAGTGACCCTATAAAAATAAGATTTACTAAGGTAACTAATTTTTTTAATCAAAATTTATGTCAAATTTTTTTCATTTTAGCCACAATGCTAACGGTGTTGAAATTTTGCTAATCATTGACATCCAATAATAGTGCTCCACGTGTTGGTATATACAAGTATGATGTCACGTTTTACATTTTAATTGGCTAAAATTCTACATTTGTTTTTGGATAAATTGAAAGTACGATAGTTTAATGGAGTATTACTTTTAAGCTTTAACAAAAAAATCACTTTTTTTTATTAATCTGGTATAAGTACAATACCATATCTATTCAAAGATAACTCTTAACCATTTAATATTAAACGTCCACACTTTTAATAATTTTAGTGTTTGTACCCGAAAATCTAAAAAAAAATAATAACAATTTCTTTATTGTTATTTAAAAAAGAAAAAAAATACTTTGAATGAAAATTGGGTATAGCTTTAGGGTCAATAGGTAAATAAAACCAAAGAAGAAAAAATATAAGGGTAAATTACACTGTTCCTTACTAAACTTTATTCTCTCTCCTATTTTGTTTATTGTACTTACAATTTTTTTTTACTCACTGAACTTTACAGTTTGAATCATTTTGCTCACTATATTTTTATATCTCTAACGGCATGATGATGTGTTATATTATTATTATTATTTAATATAAAATAATTAAAAATATAAAGGGTAAATTACATTGTTTCTTACTGAACTTTACACTCTCTTCTATTTTATTCACCAAACTATAAAATAAAAGCAGAAAGTAGTCAGATGCCACTGTTGATCGCCGTAGATGGTGGCCATTCGGCCTCAAATTTTATTGGTCGATTCGCCTCGACACATTGAGTTCGAACTCGACTTTCATTTTGTCAGAACTTGATTCCAAGTCCACGAATCGAAGATTGAAAATGAGGAAGACGAAAAGTTTCACTCGAGATTCATAGATTTTAGGATATTTTTCGGGTGAAACAACCACCAGATTCGGAATCAAGGAGTCAAGACGAACTGACCCATTAATTTTGAGACTGAACAACAACCATCAACGACGATAGACGGTGGCATCCGACCACCTTCTATTTTTATCTTATAGTTAGGTGAGCAAAATAAGAAAGAAAGTAAAGTTCAGTGAGAAATAGTGTAATTGATGATTAAATAGTAATAAAAAATGACACATCATAACATCGTCAAAAAGTTAACAGCTGAATAAGCATAATGATTTAATCTGTAAAATTCAGTGCGTAAAATAAAAGAATTAAAAGTACGATAAACAAAATAGGAGAGAGAATAAAGTTTAATAAAAACAGTGTAATTTACCCTTATCATTTTTTCCTTATTTATTTTTATTTACATATTGACCCTAAAATTATACCCAATTTTCATTGAAAGTATTTTTTTTAATTAATAATAAAGAAATTATTGTTATTTTTTTTTAAAAGGGTCTCTCTTCTCTCTATTCAATTTCCCCTATTAAAAAAAATTCCACACATTTCTTTGTCGTGTTTCGTTGTTTTTGTTGTTCATCGCACAATCTCATCTTCACAGATTCGTCATCTTCTCGATCCCTAACTAACTGTAAGTCATCTCTCTCGCTATCTCTTAATCCGAAACCCTAATTTTCTAATATTGACATTCGTTCCCTGTCTTTTAGTTTTGTCATGATGATCCCTGATTCATGTTACCCATTCTGAAATTTACAAAGTACTGGTTATTCTTTTTGTCTGTTTCTTTTCTTCTTGATATATTGTATTTCATTTATGCAATTGACAATTGCATATTTGATTGGGAGTTCGATCGTTTGTTAATTTGGTTTGTTATTTGATTAGGAAGCTTTGATATATTTCTCTAGTAAGCGATCGAGATTTGTTTTGGTGATCACTTAATTTTTCCTGGAAATTTGACATTTATATTATTGAAGTGGGGAATGGGGATTTCTGGTGTTGGATTTGCGATTTACCTAAATTAACTGTTGGATTTTGCTTTTAATTTTTCTTCTTCTTAGGGGTTTGATCATTGTAATGAAATGATAAATGATGCCGTGAAGAATTTTTATTGATTCCGTTTGTATTTCAATTGAGGATTCAGTGATGTCTGCCCTTATTATTAGGAATTTTCTATTATGTGATTTTTGTTTTGTTTTGTTTTGGGGATTCAGGCAATCATGAGTGACGTCCGAGAAAAGACGTGCCCCCTTTGTGCGGAGGAGATGGATTTGACTGATCAGCAACTGAAACCTTGCAAATGTGGTTACGAGGTTTGGTGCATATTGTTCTTTCATTTTTCTTTTTTCATTTGTTTGACAACTTCAGTCAGAAAAATGTTGTAAAATATGATAAAAATGAGAACATAGGAAAATGGTGGGTAATTAATGTGCGTCATCTGGCCTAATTTCTATTGTCCTCCGTGGCAGATATGTGTTTGGTGTTGGCATCACATAATGGAAATGGCTGAGAAGGATGAAGCCGAGGGAAGGTGCCCAGCTTGTCGTGCTGCTTATGATAAAGAAAAAATTTTACGGACGGCTTCTAACCGTGAGAGGTCAAGCTTCCACTCTTTAAAAATATTGCAATGTTTACTTGCCTTTGTCTCATATATATTACACCCCCTCCTTCGCAGGCTGGTTGCTGAAATTAATTTTGATAGAAAAATAAAGTCACAAAAGGCAAAGATTAAATCATCTGAAGGAAGGAAGCAACTGAGCAGTGTGCGAGTTATTCAAAGAAATCTTGTTTACATAGTTGGGTTGCCACTTAATCTGGCAGATGAAGATGTACACTCTTTCTAATCTTTGTGTGTGTACATTTTCGAGCTAACTTTTATACTTGTATGAAGATAACTAAACCTGTTTCTCTTTTGTGCAGCTTCTCCAAGGTCGAGCATATTTTGGTCAATATGGGAAAGTTCTAAAAGCATCTTTGTCTAGGACAGCAGCTGGTGCCATTCAGCAATTTCCAAATAATACATGTAGTGTGTAAGTTCAGAAATATTTTGTATAGGTTTCAAATTTTCCAATTGTTCAGACATTATTGTTTTGCTTGTTAAAACTTCAATAGGAGCAATCTATTTCATGTATTTAGGTTTCTTCAGAAGGGAAAATCTGTTTTTATTATATTGTAGATTTTGCCGCCTTGTCTCTTTGGTGATTCTCTGCTGTTGGTATATATCTTTTTCAACTTATATTCCTTTTTACTGTGTACAGATATATTACTTACTCAAAAGAAGAGGAAGCAATTCGTTGTATCCAATCTGTACATGTATTTGTCTTGGATGGTAGACCATTAAAGTATGAGAACTTGCTTTTGAAGTTTTTCTTTTATTGTGGTTGGATGCATTGTTGTAACTCTGGTTATCATCTCTAATACTTGGAATATATGTTTCAGGGCATGCTTTGGTACAACAAAGTACTGCCATGCATGGCTGAGAAATATGGTATGTTTAAAAGTGATTTTTTCTTCATTTTTGAATGAGTTGAAACTTCTATTTATTATAGAAATTAATGTATTAAATGTAATTGAAGATTTTCTTTTGGGGTTTCAGCCTTGCAGCAATCCTGATTGTCTATATTTGCACGAGATTGGTTCTCAAGAGGATAGTTTCACCAAAGATGAGATCATATCTGCATACTCAAGGTATAATCATTTTGAGTATGCTTGCCATCATCTCTTTTTCTTTTTTAATTTACTTCATTTTTGTTGAGTTTATGTGTAACATTAGATAAAGAAATCCAACTTGTAAATGCTTTGTGTTTCATATAAATGCATGTGTGCATTGGATATCACATCAATCTCATTTTGTTAGAAAATCTAATTAGAGCTGTCGTATTCATATGTTACCGTTGTTGTAGCCCATTCAAAAGAGTGAGATCTCATACCCAAGTTGTAAGGCTAGGAAGATAGAATGCCATTAATTATTGGAGAGCTTATCTTGCAAGGGACATTATTGAGAGCTTTTATTTCTATTCAGCCCTATTTTATTTCTGTCATATGGATACCTCACTATTAAGATAATGGTCTCAAAGGATTTTTTTTCTTCTCAAATCAATATATTAATTTGTTGTTTCTGTTTTTAACTTTTTATTGCAACTTATCAATTCTATTTGTGTATTCCAGGTCTCCTTTTGTTTTGTGTAATATCTTTCTTTTGGTTGATAATAAACTTAGTTGTTTAAATGAGTAGGGTTCAACAAATAACTGGTACAACAAACAATACGCAACAGCGTGCTGGGACTATGTTACCTCCCCCAGTGGATGATTATTGCCCCAACAATTCTTCTACAGCAAAATCCATTTCTAAAAGTGCTCTAAATGTAAGTTCATGTCGTTGAGCTCCCAAAACAAACAACAGGAAGTTATATTATTACACTAATAATTTAGGAATAGTTAAATTTAGCATAATTGCTGGCTGAATTTGTTCAAAGAAACACTTAGTAGGGTGATTGTTTTTGCCTTGAGTCATTGAAATAAGAAATTTTCAAATGATAGGGTGAGTGGGTTGGCGGAGTTGGGGATGGAAATGGTTTAAAGCAACATGTATGTTGACCTTGGCTCCTGTACCTGACTTAGATTGTGATTTTTATACAGAATAAAATATCAAGCTGTCAAAAAGATTTTCCTTCAAATGGAAGCCCTGGTAGATCTATTGCACTTCCTGCTGGAGCATCATGGTATGTCTTTTTGTGCTGTTTTCATACCCTTCTGTTGTGTTAATTTGTGATTCTTAAAATCTGAACATTCTTCTAGGGGAACTCGTGCTTTAAACCAGCTACAATCAGCCATTTTATCATGCTCAAATGGACCTTCTAAGCAGAAATATGATACAATTAGCCGCACACCACCATTTTTATCTGCAGTAATGAGCATAAATCGGTCTAGTGCAGTACATGATGACGTTGTAAAGAAACCTTCTGAGGAGATCCATGCTATGCATATGAAGGGTAAACCTGATTTGTTAAAGCCCTTGAGACATAATGGTGCTTTAGATGGTCAAACTACTGCACTAGAGAAGCCTATTTCACCTGAAGGGGTTCCTGCCTCTAAATCATTTAACAGGCAAGTATCTTCTCCACCGACATCCAATTATAATGACCAGGGCACTAATATACCATCAACTGTTACAAGCTCCATCTTTGCCCACTCTGAGAAGTCTTCTATTACATCCAATGAGAAAGTAGGGAGTATTTCGTCTACTGATGAGAAGATACAGAGCTTATGCTCTAATGTTTCATCATTGACCTTAGATAAGACTGCTTCAAGTGGACATTCCAATGTAGTTAGACCTAGCAGTTCAGCTTCCGTCCATGGATCAAGCAGCTCTTCCAGTAGTCAGGGGTTACAACAGTGTTATACTGAGAACTATCAGGAACCTTTAAATTCAGCAGCCGCTGGGAGATCTGTTACATTCCCCAATAGTGTGTCTGTTTCAAAAGGGCATTATGATTGGGGAAGTGATTCTCAAACTCGAGCAGTGGTGAATACAAGTTCTGAAGTTGAAGAGGACATATTATCTTTTGATAATCAAAGACTCAAAGATCCAGAAGTTATTAACCGGCCAAATTATATGCCTAATTCACCAATTTCACTTCATTTATCAAATCATTCTAGGTCCGATTCTTTTCAATATGATGATTCTTTTGACGCTGTTAATTTGAATGCTGATACAGCCTTCGTAGATAACAAAGTTAGTGACGGTTTACTGTTCCATGGATCCGGTGTTTCGTTTTTATCTAATGGGTACCCTGGGAAGTACATGAGTAATAGTATTGGTTCTGGTATTACCACAGAAGGCTATGTTCCGCCTTCAAATCAATGGAAAATGAAACAAATGGGAAGATTCCTTGGTAATGCTGAGGACATAGTTGCCAAAGACGAAACAGGAGAGAACAACATAATTTCAAACATATTGTCGCTAGATTTTGATACATGGGATGAGTCCCTAAGATCGCCACAGAACTTGGCTAAATTGATGGGTGACACTGCCAAGCAGCAGTCTAGTTCTCTCAAATTTTCTAGTCCAGGGAAGGCTCCGAATAACAATCAATCCAGATTCTCATTTGCAAGACAGGAGGATTCTGAATATCATCCTTTTGATATTGAGTCCTTGTGTAGTGTTTTTGGCCAAATGCCACAGAACCAGCTTTTAAGCCAAGATTTTGCTGAAAGCAGGGATCTCTATCTGAGTAAGTTTGGAAGTTCTAATGGGTTACCTCCAGGTAACATTGATGAATACAACAAATTTTCAGGCAACCCTTCAATGTTCTCTTCTAATAAGCTTTCTGGTGAGTTTCCGTGAAATTACTCTGCCTCTATTATAGGCCAATGCTCGTACGGACTTAAAGTTTTACTTTTGCTGTCAGAATGTTGAGTGTTATCTGTTTTCTTTGAAATTTTAATAATGCCACAAGCTTGCTCATAATTTGATCTTTACCATCATTAAATATAAATTAGTTTTTTTCTTTTTTCTTAACTTTTTTATCTTGTCGTTTTGTTTTCTGAATTTTCAATGTTACATGCAGTTTCAAGAGCTCAAGTGTCAGCACCACCTGGATTCTCTGTTCCCAGCAGGGAACCCCCTCCCGGCTTTTCCTCTAATGGGAGAGTAGACCACAGTTTTGACACATCAGGTAGGTTCACTTTTTATTATTTGGCTTGTGATCGTTAGGTGTTTCATTGCCAGCAAATTGATGCCAACTTTGTTTTTCTTTTCCTTTTAGGATACTTGGACACTTCGTCCCTGTTAAGAAACTCTTATCAGGCTCCAGCAAGTAGTGGTATTGATGGTGTTGGAGATATAGAATTTATGGATCCAGCAATATTGGCAGTTGGTAAGGGTAGACTTCAGGGAGGGCTCAACAATTCAGGCTTAGATATGCAATCAAATTTTCCTCCACAGTTGGGTCTCTACGAAAATGAGGCCAGAGTTCAACTATTGAGGCAGAGATCTCTTTCTCCTCATCAGAACCTAAGATATGATGTTGGGGATAGCTTTTCTTCTCTTAATGACTCCTATGGAGTTTCTTCTAGGGTAATGGATCAATCACAAGTGAACAACATATCCCAATATGCACAGTTGTCACTTCAACAGTCGAGGAATTCACATATGTCAAACGGTCCTTGGGATGGTTGGAATGAAGTCCAGGGTGGAAACAATGTTGGCATGGCTGAGTTGCTCAGAAACGAGAGATAGGGATTTAACTAGTTCTATTATGGTTATGAAGATTCAAAGTACAAGATGGGTGATCTATGTGACAGAACATTCTGGATGTGATTGTTTTTGAAATCAACTCTTTGCTTGACAATGCTAAAATGAGAGAATGAGTTTGTGGTGTCTTGGCCTCATGTTGGTGATGGCCTGTTAACTTGGCCTCCTTTGGCAGCCTCATGAAGTATCAAACTCCAAACAACTCAGGCCAAAATGACGGTGCCTGCAAACAAGCTGGTAATATTGAACTATTTCAAGTTAATTATTATAATTCCCTGGTTGTAGTTATTTACTCGAGCATATTTTTGGATGCTTCATAAGGTCATATCTTGTGTTAATATAGATTGAGGTTTCGGCAGATAAAAAATGCACATGTGAAATGAGCTCTTCTGCCATGGGTATTTCTGTTATAATTTTGTCGCACCGCATGAGTGCTAGCCGTATACAAACTGGCAGGATGGTCCTCTCCTCAGCCAATGCCACCCCTGAAGTAAAATATATGGTGATGGAACTAAATAGATTTCAACTGCAATCCGAATTTACTTTTGTGTTCAGATATCAACGACACTAATGGTGTAAACTGTAAAAAGAGTTATATTTTGTTTGAGATATGGAGGATTTACAGTGGTCTGTTAGCTGAGCCCCCATGAATACATGAGTCAGATTCATTTCTGTCTCATCTCACTTTTCCTTTTTGTTTCAAGCCATATTTATACTAATAGCAAAGAAACAACAATTTGAACAATCAAGTAATACTTTTCCTTTTCCATTTCTATCTTAGCACTTTGTAGTATTTGTTTTTAAGAAGAGAGTAGAAGTTCTATAATTATTTAAGCTTCACTTGAACATTCTTTTTATATCAACTTAGATTGTTATTTTTCAAAAAAAATATTAAGATTTGAAATTACTCAATCTGCTAATTTAATTCAACTAATCTTTTATGGGATTTTTGACAATATATTAAGATTCGTCTATTTACATTGTATATTTTTTAAGGAAAATAAAACTACACTAGTATTCGTGTTTTTTTCCCTTGAAATTTTTTTATGCGCAATGTCAAACCTTAAATTTTAAATATACATTATAAACTTTAAAATTTTATACATAAATATTAAAATTAAAATTAAAAATCCTAAATAAAAAATAATATTAAAATAATTAAATTATAAAATATAAATTTTAAATCATAAATATCAAATAATAATTCAATACCTGCATTTACTTATCTTGTTGAGGAAGTGAGCGGCAACTAGGAGCTTGCTCTATATCTGAATGTATTCCCTTGCTCCCTCTTCACTTGTCAAAACTTCCGTCCTCGTCCTAAAAGATTCCGTCTCTCATCAGCCCCGTCTTCTTTTCTCTGGGAAATCTTATTTTGAATCAATAGCGCTCTTTACAATTCCTCATTTTTTTTAGTTTTTTTGCAACAACAAAAGCAAAGGCATACCTCTAATCCACCTCTTCTGTCTGTTTTCCAATAACTTAGCACCAAAAAAGATGACCCAACAGAGATTTCCTCCCAGAAGAGGTTAAATCAAGGTCAAAATTATCAAAGGCTTCTTCAAATCTGCTACGAAAGTTCTGTCCATAAAGAAGAAGAAGAGAGAAGAGAGAAAAGCGAGGTGGCGTTAGTTGGAGCTCAACACCACCCCACCAAAGACTACCACTCAGATGGATCATTGGATTCACTGAGTTGATTCTTCAGTATTACAAGTCGTTGTTTTATTTCATTTTTCATTGCATATGGATAGGTATAGATCTGTTTTTGGATACTTGTGGTGTTAGTGTTTTTGGTGGGGGTAATTGATTAAGCTGTTGAAGTGGCTAGTGAAGATGTTGCGAAAACGCTTCTTGTGTATTCTAAAAAAAATTTGTAAGTTTTTGTTTTCCTTTTTTGGTTTTAAAATGTGTTCATAATTGAGTTAGTTATTGCTGATTCTTATGCTAAAAAAAGCAACAAACTTTTGTCGTATTTCATACACAAAATTACTCTTATTCTCTTTTATTTTTCCTTCTTAGGTCAAGCAATGAATCGAAGTATTACTTTTCTTTTATTATGTGCACTTCACCAATATTCTCTGTTTGCATCCACTCCTTCCAGTAAATAAATTTAACAAACACATTATATTAGATTATAAGTATATTGTTAATGTATAATTCTATACATTATTAATGAATATCTCATATTCGATGCATACCATATTAGTTTTCTTACGATAAAGATGGCAATGGCAGAACAGAAAGATATGTTGACTCATAGTCATATAGTCATAGTCATGGCTATTGCCTATTGCCACTTGAAAATAACCTTCAAAACTAAGAGACAAACATCCTAGCAATCCAACACCACCCACCCATAATTCCTATATTATTATTATTATTATTATTATTATTATTTTCACTTAAGAGAGAGAGAGAGTACAACTTTGAAAAATCCAATGAATTTGGAGGTCGTGCGATCGAGTCCCACGGAGGGCATTTCATAATTCGGAGGTCTTCTACGAAAGCTGCTATCAACCTGATGTTGGGGGCAGCCTACTATCTTTCCTCCCCCTTATCCCATTACATATGGGAAAAAGGGACAACCATTTTTTTGAAGACAACTTCCATCTAAACCCTAAGAAAAAAATTATAATCTCTATTAAAAATAAATAGTAAATTTATTTAATTCTAGTGATTTCATGAATATAATATGATTATTTACTTATTTAGACACTAATCATTTAAAATTTATCAAATCATTATCAAAATTTAATACTTTTATTTGATAATATTGTACTATATAATATAGAAAGCAAAAAGGGTATGATCAACTCGAGTGTGATCAATTATTGTCCTGGTAGAATGTTTCCCCTTATTTTTTGTAATAGTTATCTCTTTGTTTCCCCCTAATTCTACGCGTAATTCTTTGAGTTGAAATTTGAATATTTAATAATTCATCAACGGATGAGTATACAATGTACATCACATACCACAACACACCACTAAAGCGACGTACCGAAACACATCACTAATTAAATTGTTTTTATTAAGTTAATATTAAAAGGGTGAATTATACATTTATTACCTACACTATCATTTTTATTTCATTTTAGTACCTAAACTTTATTTTTTAAAAACCATTAATGATAATGCTGATGTGACATGATATTTTAATTTTATATATTTTTTAATTTCCATATCACCTTTCTTTTTCTCCGTCAGTATTATTTAATTAATTCTGTTCAACCAATTAAATGGTGACACATGTCCCTTGTTAGGCTCGATCGATCAACCAAAAACCGCCAAGAGGGAGTGAATTGATCTTTAAAAATCTTTGGTGTTGAAGCAATAAAAGATAGAAAAATTGGCACAATGATTTATAGTGGTTCAACTTCTCAACTAAGTCTACATCACTAACTTAGCTCCACACTAAGGATTTTCTAACAAATTCACTAATTTGTTCTTACCTTTCAAGGATAAGGTGTAACCTTTACAACTCTCTAGTTTTTTCAAATTCTAAACTAAAATCTCAGCCCTCTTTACAATGTTTGATTTGGGTAAACAAGAATACCTCTATAGGTTGGTGTTTAAAAGAATTAAGCTCACAAAGAATGAATTAAAAAGATATTCAATAAGATCAATACACTTACGTACAAGAGAAACTGAATGAAATAGGAATGAAAACTCTTTTCTCTTGATCTCTAAACTTGGATAGGTGTGCTCACCTTTTTAAGTGTCCTTGCAGTGTTTTTATTGTTTGAAATGAGTTGCTAGTTGTTTATGACATTTGGGGATGAGTTATAGACGTTAGAAGCTTTAAACAAAAATATGCAATTAGAGTCACACGCATATGAAGCTTTGAAACTTTGATGCAAGTTTTAAACTATTGTGAAAGCATCGAAACTTTTATTAAAGTTTCGAAACTCTTACTTAAAAAAATACGACAATTGAAGAAAATCAGGCTGTTAAAACAATTTCAAGGGAGAAGTTTCGAAACTCCTACAAAAGTTTCAAAACTATGTGATACAGGCACGCCCTACTCCACTTGGTGAGGTAAGACTTGCACATTGATTGTAGATCCTAGGAAGGCATGAAGTGTTCCTGCAATAAGCAAATGCTCAAAACAAAAGGGTTAAATGTAATGAATAAGATGAAAGATACAAATGACAGTAAAATAGATGATGATGGTAAGTTTGTAAGGATTTAGAGAAGTATTTGTACAATAGAATGGTGGTATAGTGATTGAAAAAGAAGTATGAAAATGGTAGTGCAGAATGAAGGTAGTATCTGAAGTAACAAAGGAATCAAATTAAGCTATATTAAATCTTAACCTTAAACCTTATTGAAACTTGAGGGGTAGTGTTTTAGGACTTTGACCCTTTATGTATATTCAACCAAAAGAACCAAAAGTATCAGGGTGGATAGAAGGATAGGTGACACCACAAGCACAATTGCACTTGATAAGTCGATAAAGTTCTAAAAGAACTATGAAAGAGAGAATAATATCACAAATATTTTCATTGAAAAAGTTGGGTGTTTACAAATGAAATGCTAAATCTATTTATAAGCTTTACAATACATAGGATACAAAGCATTAAAATGTGAACATATGATTTTTAATGAATATAATATTCATGGAAGAATGTTCATCCTCTTTAAAGATGTAATGCACGCCTAGTGTGAACAGATATGATGAATTGGATGAATGTAAATCTATCCTTTAATAAATTAATCCCCCTTTGGCCAAATACTTCCCCCTTGGCGTGAACATGTTGATTTGTCTCATTTAGATGAATGTTCATGAATGTATCTTGGCTGAAATTTATCTTCCTTTGTGTGAACAAGACAATTAAGCTTCTTGCATGAATGGATGAACTAAAAAGTCTTTGAATGAAACCTTGCACCTTATCATAAATGTGTTGATTTATTTGAATAGTCTTTTCTGGTCCATTCATGTCCCCATTAATGTTTCCCATACAAAAGTTCTTTGAAGAATTATATGAGGCATCCTATTGGATGAGGACCTCTTCGATTGTAATGGATCTAGAATGAAGTAAGCAATTCCTTTGAAGCAAGCTTACTAAAACTAAGGATGAAGTTGTTGGTTGTATGGTTAAGGCTATGGATGAAAATGGTTAAGAAAGGATGAAGAAATGAAGGAATTAGGTTGCAGGAAATTTTAGAATGGTGAAAGGTGGAAGATGAATGCTCGGAGAAGATGACAATGATGAAAGAACAATTCTGGAAATTTGGTTAATAAACAAAGAACAAGGAAGAACCTATACTAAAAATTATAAACCTGAACCTTATATGCTCAATGTTCAAAGGACTTGGACCCGTTAGATAGCAATCTAAGAACCCGAAGTATCACAAGCTTGACACAACAAAATCAGACTTGAAATGTCAAGAAAATAGTTCTAAGAAGAACCAACATTGAGAGAAAAACCTCACACTAATTTTTATTCATAAAATGTCTAACCTTTGTACTTACAAAATTACAAAATATATAGATAAAGAGAGACATGGTCGACCATAACTTGTGGCTACAAAATAATCAGATTTTGAATTTAAAACTCAAATGAAAACCGCAATGTAACTCCCTTGTGTTGCTGCCCATTTGTGTGGCTGATTTTGAATGCATTTAACACATTTTGCATGTGTTAAATGAGTGAATAAGGAGGTTAAA